GGGTCCATGGCATAAAATTGCGGCTGACATCTGTGAACAAGACGGCAAACAATATCTTGTGGTTGTGGATTATTATTCACGTGACATTGAAATTGCACATTTGCCAACCATCACCAGTGCCCAAGTCATTGCTCGTCTGAAAAGTATGTTTGTTAGATGGGGGATTCCGATGGAGCTGGTGACTGATAATGGCGCTCAGTTCACATCAACAGAATTCAAAGACTTCTGCAAGGCATACAACTTTGGACACACAACATCCAGTCCACATTATCCTCAAGCCAATGGCGCAGCGGAAAGGGGCGTTGCTACTGCAAAAAGAATTTTGCGGCAATCTGATCCTTCTTTGGCTCTAATGAGTTATCGAGCTACACCAATCTCTGCTACAGGTTTGAGCCCTGCTCAACTAATGACTGGCCAACAGTTGAGAACGACAGTTCCCATCTTGCCTGAACTCCTGAATATACGTCCTGTGGATCAGGAAGCTGTCAGACAGAAAGATCAACAGATGAAAGCAGCTTATCGCTTCTTTTACAACAGGTGACATTCTACACAACCACTACCTGAGCTACAGACGGGCCAGAGCGTCAACATCAAGCACAATGGAGAGAAGGGATGGAAAACTCCTGCTACAGTAGTTGCTAAGGCTCCAGAACCTAGATCTTATTATGCAAGCAAGCAAGCAAAGTTTATTTATATAGCACCTTTCTAAACCTGCGTTACAAGGTGCTTTCCAATAAAACATAAACAAATAATAATAATAATAATAATAAAACCTAAGACCAGATAAAACACATTAATACAGTAAAATAACAAGAAAAAATACATAGACAAAACAAATACATCAATCAATAAAATTGTCAAAGGCCCGTGAATACAAATGCGTTTTAAGAAGTGATTTAAAAACAGACAGGTTCGGAGCTGATCTAATCTCCCATGGCAGACCATTCCACAGTATAGGAGCCCGAACTGAAAAAGCTCGGTCTCCCCAATGTTTCCGTCTGGACTT